TATGTTTTGATCTGCTGGTCCAACAGGTCCTTGTAGGCTCTCCTGGGGGAGTCAGTTCTCTCTCTCTCTCTCTCTCTCTCTCTCTCTCTCTCTCTCTCACACACACACACACACACACACACACACACGCACACCAGGTGGTCAAGGAAAAGCACAGTCTGTGAGTTCAAACCTTTCTTCTTGGTAGCCCTTACTCATGATGCTGGTCACAACTTGATCCCAGAGCAATGATCTGTAAAAAAATATATCTGCAAAAACAGAGTTGCCAACAAATTTAAACTAGAGTGAATTACAGAGGGAATTTGGAAGGTTCCTGCTGAAGCCAAACAATCATGTTTCCCCCATGCGACTGAAAGGCATGCATACTGCCCTCAGCAGAATGCACAAGTGAGTGGAAAGGAGCCTGCCAGCTGGCCTCTGAATAATTATGAACAGTGCTCACAATTGGTTCATTGGGACCAAAATATTGTTTGGAGACAGGCCTTGGCTCAGACCAGAGAGAAGACTTCACTTCTCTGGGTGAGCCAGATCCTTCTCCTTTTACATGGATTTCTGCAAAGAAAACTTCACTTTACTCAATGTCTTAGGAGGTGTCTTTTTTGGTATGATTATAGCATGTATTTAAACAACCAAACTAACATGTGGTAGGCATCTGCTATCTCTTCAAGAACTTAATAAAATGGGTGGTAATGATAAAGTTCTTAATAAAATGGGTGCAAATAGACTTCTTCAATATTTCCAGATAAAGAGTATCATTAAGAGGAATGAAAAATTACCTCAGTTTGGGAAAAGACAGCATCTGAAACATTAATTGCGTCAGTTAACTCAAAAGGTTTAGCTGGGAAATGATATTTTTCATCAGATTCAGATACCAGAATCTAATTACATGCAAAAATGGAAAAAGGGCATTGGGATTAATATTCTATAGAGAGAATGGATCTGAATGTACAATAATACTGTTAAAAACTTCATAAGTTGTTTGTTGAAGGAAACCTTTATTAAAAACACAGCTTCAATAGCACCTCAATACCTTAACCTCAAGATAACAGAAATGTATGAAAAAGCTGCCACTGATAAAGTGTATAGTGCTATTTTTATTTATCATGCAAACACACCAGTCCATGGAATGCAAGCTTAGCAGGTAATAAGCTGACCACTACCAACGTATCAAGTGATTGTGCAGTGTGGTCCTGGAACATGTGGTGCTAGCCAGGACCAGCCCAGTACATTTTGGCACCTGAGGGAAACCACAAAATGGCGCTCGCCCATCCACCAGGGAACAAGAGGGGACTAAAAATATCTCTGCCAGGCACAAGGGTAGTGAAGATCTACATGAGGCACAACAGTGGAGTGCAGTGGCAGCAACCATGAGCAATGCATTTCTTGGAAGCCAGATCTGCCATCTAAGGTGGCCACCTCACCTTGCCTCATGGGTGGGCCAGCACTGGTCCTAGTTGCTGGTAAGAAATCCTTCTATCTTCCATGTGCTGTGCACCAATTGTGAAATCTTCAGAAAACCCACAGCTGGCTTTTGGAGCTGGAGATACTGAAGAAAAGAGGTGGTTAACTAATAACGCACACGTGAACTGTTGAAGCAGGGATGGCTTGAATATCTGGAGGGGACCCCTCCTGAACTTGTTGGACGCCAACTCCCATCAGTCCCAGCCATCATGGCCAATGGTCAAGAAGATGGGCAATGTAGTTCAACAACATCTGGAAATCCTCCCTTTCTCCATACCAGGATGATTTTTGATAGCTTCTTGGTTTTTATTCTTACCAGGCTGCTTCTATTTCTCTTGTGGGAAAGGGCAAGGAATTTGTTTGCTGCAAATGAGGTTGCCTTGGCTCAGTGAGATACAGTTTGATACACAGCACATCTGATCTAAACACACCCATGGGATAGATCAGATTGGATAAATATTTTAGCAGTTTTCATTACCTATTTTGGTGTACAGAAAGACTACACACACATTCGCCTTTTACACATGTCTCATGCATAATGAACCACCTTTTATATACATATAAAAAACAGCTGAAGATTACAAAATGAACACCTAGGACAGAGGCCTTTTCATCGAGCTGGAAAAGCTTATCCAAAAGATTGCATCAATCAATTAGTCAATTAAGACCGATTCTACCTTCCCTTATGGTCCAGGGACTTCCCAACTATTTATTTAAAGAATGTAAAACAATCCTAACCACAACAATTTTAAACAATTAAAACAACAACAACTAAACATTACAAAATAAAAAAGCCACACAGACAAAAAAAAATCCAGTTTACAAAGGGCCAAGTCCCTTACAAAACCATTTTACGTTCTGCTTGCCAATGTAATGTATCTAAGTACATGAAATGAAGCCTGAAAATATACTATGCAAAACAGAGACATTAAATGTCAATATGTTGTGACTACCAATATATTGTGACAGTAAACTGGACAGAAAATTCATGGATGTTGATGGAGCCACATGTGAGACCAAGTCAGAGAGTTCTTCCAACAGAAAACACCCCTGTTTTGAATTTTTCTTGCTTGAATTGTTCTTGCTGAGATGGTGAAAAAATTCAGAGAGGGGTAAGACTTTTTTTTTTGCAGTGTGTGGCGACTGCAAAGAAAAAGAAAGGAAAAGGAAATTCCATGCGAGGGAATTTGGAAATGGATTAAAAATAAAACCATCTGTATGATCATTCCCTTAATACAAGTCTGCAGTGTGGATCACAAGTGCAATACGGTATACAGTTCTGCTCACCCCATCTGCACAAGGATACGTTGAGCTGGAAGGGGTGCAAAAAGGTGCAATCAAAATTCTAAGAGGTTTGAAGTAGTGTCTATTTGGAAAAGAAAGCTAAAGCATTTGGGGCTTTTTTACTTTTAAAAAATGTGGCTGGGGGTGGATAAATGCTAAGCATTTTAATAAAATTAGGCATGGCGTGAAGAAAGCACATAGAGAAAAGGTATTCTTACTCCTTGTCCCATAATAGAAGAATCTGGGGTCATCTAATAAAGCCGATTTGTTGGAGATTCTGAACAGACAAAATAATTTGTAATTTATGGGATTTTTGTGGCAAAAGACATAGGGATAGCCTCTGGGTTAGATGACTTCAAAAAGGATTAGACAAAGTCACATGGGGTAAGGGTAGCAGTGGCTGCTAATAATGGTGGCTATATGAAACCTGCATGCCTCTGTATGCCATTTGCTGCAAAGGCATATCAGCCGGGGCTTGTTGTATTCATGCCTTGTTTTTGCGCTCCCCAGAAATACCTTACTTGGCTATAGTGGGTAACAGGATGCCAGACTAGACGGGACTTCAGTTTAATTCAGAATTGATTCTGAATACCAATATGGAGCCTGATGGTTCAATAAACACGGAATTGCACCATATGCAGTTCCTTTTTATTCAGATGTAACTGACATCAGTGTATTCACATTCCCTGAACTGCTACATTTCTGTATCAGTTAATGGACTGTTTTTTTAAAAGTCCTCATGTAAATTATTGTTATTGTTGTTATTGTTATTGCTATATTTCAGGCAGTTGACAACATAAAAAAAATCAGCATTTCTCCTAATACACACATTTTTGCAGGCAATTTCCCCCAGTACAATGCATATGCAATTTTCTTTAATATATGTATTTTTTGCAAACTGTCCCCTAAGACACAAATCTTTGCACGCATCTGAGTGGAGAAATTTCAGAGGACAGATGAGTTTTGGCTCATATATAGTTTCAGTTAAGTGCAATTTAGGTAGGTTCACAATAAAATCCTAACCGAACCAAATTTATTCCCTATCTGTAATCTATTCAGGGTAGGCTTTATCTCTTTAGCACAATGTGCAGGTGCTTTCTAATGCTGACGCAAAGTGATTCCATATTTATATAGATGGGCGGAGAAAGACTATTGTAGGGACTGGTCAAAAGATGACTCATGCAATGCCGAGAGCTACCTGATGCAATGTAGTATTCAGTTATAATGGGATTATATCTGACAGGCCCCATAGCAGGGCAGATTTGCCACACTTGCGCCACATAGGACACATCTGTTTTGCAGTTGCTAGCTGGCACTGATCATAACCTTTTATTAAAATCCTACAACATTCCCCGCTGGCCCTCTCTCCCTCCTACCATCTTCCCCACAATGCTTCATGTGTTTTGACACGAGGCAGTTTCATCCTTTGCTTCAAGTGTAAGGGTTAGAATCAGTGCTGTTTTTCTAGAAAAAAGAAAATGAACACCATGAACACCACTGTTGTTCTCTTAGAACGGCAATGGAGCCCACCTGAGAGGTGCCGGAACTGAGTTCCATTGAGTTCCTGCTGGAAAAAAATGCATTTGTTAGAATCTTACCTTTTGAAAAGCATTTAAGCTGAAAGTATTGTGGATTTTCAGGACACTATGCATTAAACCACAGGGGAAAAACTATATAGAAAGGATATTAAATGAAACTTAAGGCAGCTATAGGAATGACAGAGACAAGGAGTGGCATCAATGCCAAATTAAACCAAATTAACTGATCACAACCCTAGGATCTGTCTGCAAAGTGTTGATTAACATGGTTCACGGAGGGCAGATACTGGCTCCCTGCCCTTAAAAAAATACACGTATGCAAGGCAAGTTAAGTCAAACTGCCTATTTTGCGCATAACATAGAAATCTCATACAATATAGGAATCCTCAAGATGACAAAATAAACATCCCAGATCAGGAATCTATGGTTGCTTTCTATCACTTGGAATGTCAACTTAGTATATTATAAATACGTATGATTTTATGTTTGCTTTCATGATGAAAGTGGTTTCAGGTTTAAAGTTGTTGGCTGGTTGACATCTGTTTCAAAATGGATGTTTTCACAGTAATGCTATCAGACTGAAGGCCTTTGGAGAACAGGCAAGCATAGTTAAAAAGCCATTGCTTCTATTAATAGAGCAGAGTCCCTTCTGCAATGTCAACTGTAATATTAATCCTTGTTTCAAATCACAGGTCTCAAATATCAGCTGCCACTACTCAGACGGGTCTCTTTCGGTTTATATCAGAGAACCCAATGGAGTCTTTTGAAGAACCTGGTCAGGTTAGTAGGGAGAACTTATTAGAAGTTCCCACTTTAAGCGATTCTCTCTCAGAAGATGAAGATGTTAAAGCTACACTGCAGCACCGCTTCTCCCCCAGCCCCCGGAGGCGGAATTCAGATTCTTCTGAAGAAATGGAAGCAGAAACCCCATCCACCATTGCAAGAAAAGTTTCATTTGCTGATGCATTTGGTTTTGACCTTGTATCCGTTAAGGAGTTTGATACCTGGGATGTTCCAATTACATTACCAAATGACGACTTAGAAGACGAAGTTGTGCCTGTGGAGGAATTTTATTTGTCTCCACTGTTTATACTGCCTGCCACACAAGAAGAGCTTTTGCAAAAAGTGCGTGCACAGAAAGTATGGCTAGAGTCTGTCGAGTTCCTGCCAGGGATAACATGTATGAAGGGCATCATCCGTGTTCTGAATGTATCCTTCAAAAAGCTGGTCTATGTCCGAATGTCTTTGGACAACTGGCAGACTTATTATGACATCTTAGGAGATTATGTGCCTAATTCTTGTGATGGCGAGACTGACCAGTTCTTGTTCAAGATTTCATTGGTTCCTCCTTATCAGAGAGAGGACGCTAAGGTTGAATTTTGCATCCGTTATGAGACATCGGTGGGAATATTTTGGGCAAACAATGACAATCGTAATTATATTTTGATCTGCCACAAAAAGGAAACTGCGCCACCAGCGGAAGAGAATAAAGCCCAGGGAGAAGTTACAGATAAAGTCCAGGAAGGTGTTACAGACAAATATATCAAAGGCTGCTTAAAGACAATACCAAGCAGGTGAGGTTGCATCTTACACTTCTTTCCTTTTAAAAAAAGTATTGTAAAACCTCTTTCAGTGATAGTTTCCCCAAAAGATGTTCCTATCTCTTCAAAGAAGGAGATGCTGTTAATAACATTTCAAAATCTGTCCCTGTGGTTAATTTTGTGCTTCCATACTACTTTAAATAAAATGTATATAATTATATATATATATTTCCAGAGAGGTTAACTTGAGGGAAATGTAATTACCGTAGTCTTACATACTAAGTGTATTACCAAAATAGTATGAAAGTCATAACTACTAAGTATAGGTGAAGCAGTTCATTACAGGTGAAACAGCTCATTCCTGATGCCTAAAATGTCGAGCATAATTAGACTTTGATCACTTCCTATTTAATTTCACTGTAGAAATTTAGCAATAAACCTGCATAGTTGTTGTATACTCCTGAGAGTTTAAATGGCTTTTGAAGATAGTTGGGAAATGTTTGAAGTGGTTTTTAAAGGCCCATAATCCTTTAAAAACAATTATATTGGTCATAACAGAGCTCTGGTAAAGAATTTGTCTGTCCAGGGGGCAATTTGAGATGGGAGAAGAGGTGGGAAGACCATCTAGTATGTTATGCCACCAAGTTCTGTTGCCACAGAGACCAGCTTATCTTTCACCTTTAGATTGGTAACTTGTGAAGGGGCAGGTAGCAGCATCCTTAGGGGTCCAGGTTTGCTTCAGAGGTTTGCAGCTGTTGACTCATGCATGAGAGGAATATAGCAGAATGTATTTAGGATTTTGTTATATTTCAGTCATAAAGAAAACACACAATGTAAAGATCTATGTTTTGGTTGCTCTGGGAAAAGCAATAATCAATTTTGTTTTGTTTTGTTATTAATCATCATCTAGGCCAGGGATGGGAAACCTGTTGCCCTCTGAAAGTTGTTGGACTCCGACTCCTATCAGCCCCAACAAGTAGGCTCAATAGCTAAGCATGCTGGGAGTTGTAGTCCAACAGCATCTGGAAGGCCACAGGTTCTGTACCCCTGATCTAGATTCTGCTGTTTCCTATCTGTTACCGGTGTATGTTTTGACCAGAAGTCTACAAGTGTAGAAATGTATATTGCAGATGAGATGTTGGGTCCCTAACAATCTCCATTATCTCAGAGATCTCAGCTATCTTTTTGCAGGTTTAAAGCAAGCAGCCTGTAATGGCGCCTGCTCTGGTTACATAGATGATTTGCTTCGTTGCCATGGCATAAAATAATGCACGGAGATGCTTTCTTTTGCACAATGATCCATTAGCCCTGTTGTGGTCACAATCAGAGCTGGCTCTATATCTGAGCCGCAAACTATTTGCCTAATGGGCTGCTGCAACATTGCTGGCTCCTCTTTGGGCATGTTAGTGGCAATGGGCAGCAGTTGCGCCATGATCTGTAACAAGGAACTACCATTTCAAATGTCATTCAGTGCCCTGTGATCGTTTTGGCTGCTGTTCCGTTTCACGAGGTAAAATGGGCCCAAGGGAGCACAGGTGGGGTAGGCAGGCCCAATTGGCAGAAGGTATCCACAGGTGGGGATGCTCAGCGATTACCCGAGGTGCCAAGGGCTGGTGGTGGGATTGTGCAGATTGGATTTATAAGATTAGATCCAATTAAGAAGAGCCTTGCTGGATCAGACCTGACCTATCTTGTCTAGCATCCCATTCTCACAACCACCAGCCACATGGCTACAGGAAGCCCACGAGTGGGATATCAACAGAGAGGTGCCACTGAGAGTCCTGCTTCAAAGCAGTGCTTTCGGACATCCCCTTAGACTCACAACTTGTATGGTGTGAGGAGGATGTGCATGAAACACGAGTCCAAAGCCCTTTAGGGTGTGGGGAACTAGTTGTGCAGTTCTGTTGGATCCTGGCCCTGACCTCCAAAAGCGTAACACCTATGCTGCCTTTCATCTGTTAGACCTGCATTTGATCACGAGTTTTCTGTAAGCTCTAAACTAAGCTCAGGCACCTGCTCCCTTAATAGTTTTGACCCTAAGGGGATATTTTGATACAATGACCTATTTGTATTTAGTTGGTCATGATTCTAAGGACTCAAATATAAGGCTGACAATTTGTGACACAACTGAATTAGTTTTAAGGGTTGAACTATGCAGGACAGTGGCAGGGTTTCCTCCCCCACATGCCTGCCTGCCTTGTTCACAGATGGGGGGCAAATGTATTAATCTTAATCTGATTTTGCTGAATTAGGATGGCTTCTTCTGTGGAACTGATATAACATGTATGTTGTCACTGTGGTTAATATGTGACTACAGTGGTACCTCGGGTTAAGTACTTAAGTTAAGTAATTCGTTCCTGAGGTCCGTACTTAACCTGAAACTGTTCTCAACCTGAAGCACCACTTTAGCTAATTTCTGTTCTCAACCTGAAGCAAAGTTCTTAACCTGAAGCACTATTTCTGGGTTAGCGGAGTATGCAACCTGAAGCGTATGCAACCTGAAGCATATGTAACCTGAGGTACCACTGTATTATTATTATTATTATTATTATTATTATTATTATTATTCATCATTATTATAATTTATATCTTCCCCATCCTCCCCAAGGATATACAATTCAACAAATACATAATTTGAAAACCCAAAACAAAAATATTCTAAAATGGATTAAAACATTCCAAAAACAATTACAGTTAGAAACTTCTAAAAGGGACTGCAATGAAAAACCTGTTTCTATCCAATGATCTCGAGGTAGCCAGGAACAGCCACGAAGGAGCATTTTCAAATTCTTCCTAAAAGTTAACAACAAGGAAAAAAGCACACCTCACTAAGGAGGACATGTCACAAATTTATGGTGAAAGACTATAATCTCTCTAACTCTCTATCTAACAATTGGAAGTGGTTGGATCTGACTGAGCACTAAAAGAAGCGCATAGGAAAGATGTGCTAAATCCTCTTTCCTGCCTCCTTTCCCCTCAGTCTGTGGCTTAGACACTATTCCTCGCTCACTTCTAGTATCAAAGCCAAGGTGGGAGAAAAATGCTTGGAGCAACTGAGTGAAGAGAGATCAGGGGGTGTATGTGTCAGGGGGGTGCAGTGCCCCTCTCCCAGGAACAGGTGGTGTGCTTACTGATGCAATAGAGGTGCACACTGGTGCTGAGGTTGGGAATGCCCAGCCACACCTCAGAATCCATGCAATGTTCCTATTGGTGTGCCCATCCAGCCCCGACCTCTCAATCACCTGGTGGCCCATCCTGGTAAGTGGCAAAAATGCTGCTTTTGGGGAGGGCGACCACTCAGTACCTCTCCAACTCACCAGATGCCCCTTTGCACTCTCATATATTACTTTCGAAGGTTGCCCGTGTGGCATGGATACGTGCATCTGTAGAGACCTTCCTTGGTACCCACAGGGTTTTTTTCTTTGGCTGCACCACCTGCAGAAATTAACCTTGAAAGAATCACTCCACTAGAGCCAATAGGATAGTCTGTGGCATGTGCTTTGTTGTAGGGTGTGTGTGGTGTCCATGATCCAAAGGTTTTACTCGTAAAATAATGCCCCATCTCACAGGTTGTATGGGAATAAGGGAGATGTGTGGCTGACACCATCACCATGGTTTTTTTTAAATTATTTTTTGTGTTTTTTATGTTTTGCTGGAAGCCACCCAGAGTGGCTGGGGCAACCCAGTCAGATGGGTGGATGATGATGATGATAATTTGTAGTTCCAGATAACCTGGTTAACCCCTTTTATGTATTAATTGTAAAATGTAATCTGTTGCAGATTTTTATATATAGTCACATGTACCCATACATTTAGAGAAAATACAGAGTGTTTATTGGGCTGTATCTTCAAACTACCTTTCTTTCTCCTTCCCTGCCCCATGTAGTTTAAATTGTTTGCTAACGTTACCTGGAAGAATTTACAATTTTTTTTTCAGACAGAGATTAGGGCCCAACATTTTGGGCAAGAGGAATCTTCATATTTTTATAGACTAGGCATCATGTGTCTCTTTGTTTTAATAAAATGCTTCACTTGTAACAATGAGGTATCATTCAAAAATATGCAGTGAATAGAAATACCTGCTGTAACAAAAGTAATTAATAGACCTTGACATTAGAATTTTGAAATCTCCCCAATTACACTTACAAGTCACCTCCTGGACTCCAATTTGCTTTATCCATTGGTGATGTCACAGCAATTAAGCCAATGGCACCCAGATATCCCTCTCCCAAACTTCCTGCTTGTGGAGCATGAACATTCTGGTAATCTGATTTAGCGCAGTGCGCGGAGACTCGCTGAATGGGTGGCTCAGTTCGGGGGTGGCTTGTGGGCCAGTTAAATAACCCCATGGGCCGCTTGTGGCCCATGAGCCCTAGGTTGCCTATCCCTGATCTAGATGGTGCTGTGAAAGTCATTCTGTCTCTCTCAGACTAATGTTTCTCACTCCAATAGTGTCCATAAATGAGACAATATTGCAATGTGTTCTGTACACATTGTTTTCCTGAGGCTGCTGCCACCCCCCAGTAATACGATTGTTGTTGTTTAGTCGTTTAGTGGTGTCCGACTCTTCGTGACCCCATGGACCAGAGCACGCCAGGCACTCCTGTCTTCCATTGCCTCCTGCAGTTTGGTCAAACTCATGCTGGTAGCTTCGAGAACATTGTCCAACCATCTCGTCCTCTGTCGTCCCCTTCTCCTTGTGCCCTCCATCTTTCCCAACATCAGGGTCTTTTCCAGGGAGTCTTCTCTTCTCATGAGGTGGCCAAAGTATTGGAGCCTCAGCTTCACGATCTGTCCTTCCAGTGAGCACTCAGGGCTGATTTCCTTCAGAATAGATAGGTTTGATCTTCTTGCAGTCCATGGGACTCTCAAGAGTCTCCTCCAGCACCAGAATTCAAATGCACTCATTCTTCGGCGATCAGCCTTCTTTATGGTCCAGCTCTCACTTCCATACATCGCTACTGGGAAAATCATAGCTTTAACTATACGATTAGAAAATATTAATAATATAAATATATAATAAAGCAGCTCAC